GCATTATGACACTAGTGAGCTAGCGGGCCGCTGTGACGGTGTCAAATAATTGATGTGTATGTGTTCACGTGCTAGTGTGTTGTGTTAGGTTGGGCCCGTGACGAAAAACGTTCGTGGTGGCCAGCGGAGCCTTGCACCCGGGCTCGGGCCGAGCTTTCATGGCTCAGCCTAGGGTACGTACACTGATGACAAGTATACAAACAACACAACACACCCACACTGCAAGTGTGACAGCCACGGTAGATGTACAGCCGATAGCCTAAGACGATAAATCCAAAATATGTAGATAATAACATAATGATATTTGATAATGATAGCAATAACAGTGACAAGTGCTCAAAACAAAATAAACTCAGATAATCACTTGTTGGTCGCGTACTAAGCGCACACGACGCTAATGAAGATAGAGAAACGAAGTAAATCAGAATTGAGACATGTGTCACGGGAGGTGAGACGTTCGTAACGACACATTAGGCCTGTTCCAACAGCAGGGAAGTTGTTATAACAAGTAACGCGGTCGGAATACATAATGCCAGTTCACAGCGCGCTCCAACTCCACCGACGCATTACCGGTGATAATGAAAACGAAATGAATGCATTATGAACGTAAAACACTTTGTGATAATGTAATCACGACGGTATCTCGCACTCTATAAAAACCTTTAACTGTGATATGAATGAGCGATTCCATTGCGGTTCAATGGGAGCATTAGTGGGCAGTGACGTCTTCGCCAGACGTGGACGCGGTCATGAGAATAAATCGGATTGATGCATAAATGAATAAGTCTCCATATTTTGGACACCTGACGGAATAGCAACGTCGGTTTGTGAATCGGGACAATAAATGGGATAAAATGGCGTACAGCGGGGAGTCTATTGTTGAATGCTCTCTTACGGGCTCTGGGGATGGGACACGGTGAAATCTGTCGAGTTACAAGCGGCTTTAAACGCACAGTTTGACACAAAAGAGTATCTCAGAAACCGACAATAAAATTCAATTGACAATGAAAAGAAAAACTTTTTTGGTGCGCGCCACAAAGATGCCCCTAACGGAATTCGTGGGGACAAACTTTCTAAAGATTTAGGGTTGTATTGTTTTTCGTGTAGGAAACGCAAAAGTAATAATCTTCTTTGTTTAGGAATAGGTATTATTATTAAATTGCGATATAAATAACTGGAAACCCATTAAAACGTCAAATAAAAATGTTTTTGTAGATATTGGAGATGTTGCTAACAAAACAGATGGTCATTTAGTATATTCCAATATTATGCATAGATCGGGCAGCGAGCCGAGCTAGGTATGCATTTGAATAAATATTTAAAAAGATCAGTGGAATATATCGAACTCTTAAAAAAGTATTGTATCTAGGTAAATAATAATTCACTGAACAGATAAATGTTGAAATTACAAATAAATATATGAAACGAATTAAGATTATAGAGAATTGTATTTATTGCGAATTTAATATTAGAAATAGCAATAAATGAACTGATTAAAAATCAAGAGCAATTAATAAAACGTAATTAAATACGACTTCTAGGCCATAAATAATGAGAACATATTAAAAACACATATAGTGAATTGTTTCCATTGATTCGCCGACGGTCGTATAACTTTTCTTAGTGCTTCTATAACTTCTAGTTCCTAGTCAAGTTAAGTTTCAAAAATAAAGTAAATTCCAAAAGTGGTCCCGGCGTGTTGACGCACATCAAATTTTAACGAAAACACCGAATTAAATATATTTTTGTTAGAAAGTCAACAAAAACCAAATCTAGTATGAAATTAATCTTAGTATTGTGGATATTTTTAAAGTTTATGTATGAAGGAACTATGAAGTTTTATAAACTTCAATAAACATTAGCTTTAGCCAAACGTAATGTCGATCAAACAAACGCTAATTTCACCCCCGTAGGCAGTATCACCCCCAAACGTAGGCGTAGTTCTGTTATCGCACTAAGATCAGTGCGTGTTGTCGAATTATTATGAATGGAACGCGCCTTTCCACGGTAGCCATTTTGGAAAAATGGGCGGCTAAATTTTCTTGGCGCCATGACAGCATTTATAGCGGGATTTTGAGATTTTTGACTGTTTTGTTTCATTTGTAATACAAGTTAAAATGAACCTATTCAGTTCACTGCCTGGCGTTTTTATAGCTCGAGAACAATCGCAAAACATTTAATGGCTCTGCCATTTTGTACACAATCCGACAAAACATAATCTTAAAGTTCTCCAACACGTTTATCAAATTCACAAAAGTCCGAAATGAGCTTCGACGTACACAAAATAATTTTAGGCGTTCACAAACATCCATTGTTTCAAACATGCTCCAATAAAAATACCTAACTTGGCCGCCATTTTCATAATGCGCAATACAAACATAACCTCAAAACTGAAACATAACCTCTTCGGTTACAGAATAAGGTCGAAAATCGGTCACCAAGATTTTTATGACGATTTGTTTATTAAAAGACATTTTTATAATCCTTATCACATCGTAATAGAGTTCAAAATGCGTGTCATACGAATGTACGATTGAGTTTATAAGTAATTATGATTTAAAGCGACTTTTACGACGCCGATTATTGTCGAGCGCTTGTAAATAGTTAGTGCAGCGATTTTGTACGGTTATATACGTTTGGTTAAGCTCGGTTGCTTAATTATAACCATTTAAATCGAGTTGATTGTCAATTCAGCGAAAAACCGTCATGGTTCTGCTTAATACTGTGCAAACATCGTGCTCTTGTAGTGTTGTCTTTACACGTCGTGTGACGTCATACTTTAGTAATTGTTGCCCGTCCATTATTGGAGGTTTCATTCATGAATTACGTACTCAGTTCAACACAAATGGCTTTTGAAAAGTCTGGAGCTAAAGATCCTTTTAGACTGTTACTTATGTATTGTATTTATAGCGTAGTTAAGTACTCAATGTATGTCCATGATAAAACACCCTCTAAGGTGTTCACCAAGGCCATAAAGGTTCATAAAGGCTTGTAGCCATAGGTACCTAACTACATCTATAATGATAATTAAAAAAAAATTAATTACCTACTGAAAAAAATCACAAAAGCATTAGGTACCTATATGTACGCAGTAATTACTAAAAGTAATAAAGTAATTAAACAAAACAATGTTGATGTCATAATTGACAGCTGTCAAGAAATGGCCTACAGTAAAAGATTGTATTTTTGATTAAGAATTTTATCAAAGAGATTATTTATTAATCTTTAGATAATGGCCATTGAATGTTGTAAAAATATCTGTGATACTAATGATATGTTATATTACTGTTATCTTGGGTTTTTTAACAAATAATCCCATGACGATTCACGCTACCGTGTTGAAGTATAAAATTGGATAATACGAATTAAAACAATTTGTGATTACTTACATATTTTCGTAGTTTTACGGATATATTCTATTCTCAGCTGTTTTAAAGTGAACAAACCAAACAGAATATACCTAACTTCCATAAACAATCGATCCGGTTTCCATTTTTAATAACTCTGACAGTTGTGTATTTGGTACCTGGCCTTTTTGCCAATCAGGTCAGCCAGATTTAGGTGAATGTATTTTAGTTAGAGAAATCGCTAGCAGAATTAATTATTGACTACGCTATCTGTCAGGTCTTCATATTCAACATAAGGTAAATAATGCATGGAAATAGTACAACAGGACAAAACAATAAGAAAATTATTATTTAGTTGGAAATAAGTAATATTCTTGGTTCTTAGAATTAATTTATTCTACGATTGGTTTGCTTACGTCGTTCATTAATAATGAAGGTTGCTAGTTGAATACGTGTGTCGGCAATAATCATTAATATTGTCATCTTCAAGAAATAAGTATCATCAAGACGAGTATTAGGAAACTTGGAAAACTATCGAGAAAAAAATCCGATGATAGAGGTATTTATTATTATTGACTTTTGAGATTTTATTGTGAATTTTATTACAAGCTTTTTTTTAATTTTTAATGAGTATCATCCTACCATACCTTGACACAGCAATAAATTACTAGATATGATTACACGTCAATAGAATATCAACGCAAATAGCGCTTCTAGAAACGATACATCGTTGGCCGTCTTCGATATTCAAAAACTTATTACGTCCCCCTCAAGCAATTTTCCATTTGAACCTCTTTAAATATGAACAACTTCACGTTCGAACCATCTTTAAAAAGTATACATTTAGGAAAACCGTTTATTCATAATAACTGGGGAATCAGACCCCATGTCGTTCCCTGGGCAATTTGTCTAATACCTAAGGTAGGGTGACGGCGCCGAGAATGCCATACTGTCCAATCTAGGCTAGGTACATCGTAAAATTACATACATGTACATTTTTAATGACTTAATGTATGCTCGGTGGTAATTACGGCTTGTAATGAGTCCTTCGACAACCAATTACGGTGAAGCGATGAGTTAGGTCGTGTTCTAGGTCTAAGAAATATAGTTTTTTATGATTTTATGACGTTAGTGTTAGTTTATGTTTGATATCTATAGAAACTGAAAAAAATGGCGGGAAAGAAATTCAAATTAAAAAGATTGCATTCGATTTTTGATTTCTTATAGTTTTGATATTCATTTGTACAAAAATTATGGTGACCAAATATTTTAGGGACATTCCCATATTCTTTTTTTGAAGAAACCTTGGGCAAATAAATGTTGATAAAAACAATGTCAGTAAAATTATTGACATATTTACGTTCTGATTGCAATACTATGACAATCACTACTTTATCTAAATAACAGTAATACATAAATAATACATTTGCCCGTATCTATGCGCTCGAGAAAATGTCAAATATTCCCACAGAGTGTATAGGGCAGGGAAAAACATGGCGTGCCAATTTCTTTGACTTACTTTATTGAGATTAATTATTGTTATTATGGTTAGTAGGCTCGTTATGTAAGGTGTATGGATAATTTATTGATGAAGCAATATACCGAAGTCTAAGATATGTCTGGGTTGATTCAGTAATTCGGTATCTATTAAGTATGGTTAGTCTAATTAGTAATATGATTCTTATTCATATTCTAAACACATGTTTCGACTACACGGTTGGTATATAAAACTGACCTTTTTCCTTTCAATATTTTTATGAAAAAAACCTACATTTCATATTCATTTTAAGGAACCTCTTTTCTAAATCAGTTAGGCAAATTGAGTCAATCAAATTGTTTTTAGACATTTTTTGTATTAGAACTTATTCCAATGCTTTGACATGATGCAGTGGCAATAGACTTATACCCTTTAGCCATGTTTAATTTACATAGTTAACTGCTAACAATACTTATTTAAAATATCAGATAACTCTTTGCCTATCCTTTCGAGGTAAACAAGCGTAATCTCATGTAATTTGGAATAAATAAAGCTTATTCTGTGCAGTTATTCATACGATCTAAATAAAAGATATGCCTGGCTTGACAATTTGGTAGCTCGTTCCGTTCACTTTGTATAATTTAGTCGTTAAAGTGCTAGATTATAAATATTTTAAGATTGACTATTGATTGGGTCTTAATAGGACAATGCTGTTAGGTTTCTATTGAAATTTTAATCAGAAAACGAATAGAAAATTCTAAAATAATACGTAATAAACGATAATTTCTGTAACACTAAAGATTTTGTACAATTTAAGAAGTAATATTGTAGTTTTTATTCGCAGAAAACAAGCGCATACCAACTTACTGTAAAACTAAAAAAAACAACAAATAATTTTAAAATAGGTACTATTTTCGCATATTTTTTCAAAAATAACGGTTTCGAACGCACCGAACCGTCAAGTACCTACCCACCTTTATAAAAGTACAGTCAACAACAAAACCGCCAGTAAAACCGATACGACGTGATCACGTGCACACAACAAAAACAATTACAATGAGCTTAACATCAGTAACGTTCTAATAAAGTGACGTATTGAATGCGCAGTAAACTCACGCAGGTACGGTTAGCAAAACAATGGGTTTTATCAGAAAATAAAGTCCTTTACTTTAATGGTGGTTATCAACATTATAAATTATGTTTGAGTACTTGTGTTGTTGGCATGTCGTCTCACTGAGCTATTTCCTTTACATTTGTATGGTTTGCAATGAAATCTAAGTTTCTTGATGTAGGCGATAATGACGTTTAATGGTGTTTGCTTGGATAGTCTAATAGTTATCGTTGTTAATGTATCGCAAAGTTCTAAGTGCAATTTTATTAATGCCTATTCGAAGTACGTTAGACTTTAATACATGTCTATATTTGGTGATATTCATAATGTCATTCATGAGGTCTCTGTAGTAATTGGAGTATTAAATAGATTGAAAACAATATAAATATTGAATTTAGAATGTTTTTTTTTTAAATTGGCTGGTGAACTTATGCTACCTACTTAACAATTTTAATTGACACAATTATGTGATACCTACTAGACAAAATAAATTAAGTAGATTACTTTTATACGATAATACCAAATCGAAGCTATTAAAAATGTTAATGTTTGATTGAAATTACCCACCCAAAACACATTAACAAGTAAATTACATAATTTCAATAATAATAAGCTTTTATAGTGAATCATTATATTAGGTAATACCTAACCTACCTGTTATGCTGTCGGTACTTTTACGTATTGTTTACTTGGCACTAAGTGTTGAGAGAAGCGGGTAACAAGACCTAGATTATATCGTACAAATACGTATTTTGTATATAAATACACACATACATACATACATACACTTTTAGTAAAACGTAAACAGGATGCTCTGCCAACGGTTTCGCAATTAGAAAATAAATTAAACTAGATTACTTTTAGTTTTTAGATATTTTTTTTAGAAAAGTATTCGGTATCCGCTTGGCATGTCGTTATATGGCGTCTCTTGAGTAAAGTGGACGCTGTTTGACATTTTACAGTTAAAAAACAAAAGAAAATAAAAGTTTTAGAGAGAAAAATAATGCAATTGTACGAAAGGAAAGGAAATTCAAATGCAAATATTTTATCTATTGACGTGCTTTTTGAATTCTTTATCGAGATGTTACTATACTTTAATAATCCCTTTATTACATAATTAGTGTCTCATCTTTAAAGACCCAAACTTAAACATCTTAATACATTTTAACTTTTACATACCAAACACCGAACCATCCTTCAATTAGTAAAAATTAAAACATTTAAAATTTCTGACAACGCGCCATTGGAGTGCTGTAAAAAAAAATAACAGGCAAAGGTGCGGTAATGACCGGCCAAGTCTATCGATCGACGCAAAACGCATCGTCACCCTATTTGATGGGTCGACAGTACAAAATGGACGATATCATGTACTATGGGTATCTAAAGAAGGTTTTGATGCATCTTTAGATTAAGGGACACGTTAGCATAATCAGCTATGGCTGGTGTTTGGGGCGTACCTAAATTTTTTCGAATAGGATTCGGGTATGGTTGTTTGTGGTATCGTAGTGAACACGTGCTAAAATAAAAACAATAGACTTCCAAAAATAAGTGCAAGTTATTGTTACTAATTTAAGGAAAAAAACAGACTCAACATTTATAGAAAGGGGTTTGAAAAATTACTTATTTTTTCCAATTGACCGCTTCTGCGTTTAATATAATATTCAAATTGTTTCTTATACGAACTTAAAATCATCTAAGAAACGTCCTATTGACTGAAATGCGGAAATAAAATAGACATTGATAACTCCTGCATACCTATAATATTGGAATGGAATGCTACTTCATTTGTTATTGTATCTAAAGATAAATATGTAAATAATAAACACCTATATAAATAAACATGGCGGATTCATACTTAATTTATTTCAAACTATTCTCAAATAGAAATCCTAATATTGACTTCATAAGAACATTCTAATTATAATTAATTATGGCACAAGTCGACCATTTTGTATTTCATATGTCAAAATAATAATTTTAATTTCATTAATTTAATATTATGGACCCGTCAAAAGCAACGAAGCTCTACTATAATTAAATTGTAATAAAATTCATATTACTTAATGGTCGAAAATATTATATTTAAATGTAATCAAGAAGAAACAAAAATAGGTACATGCAATATCTATTTTCGTGTCACAGGTCATCGAACTTATTGTTATTTTTGAAAACAAAATTTCTGCGATGCATTTAAATTTCAAAATTAATGATTGCATTATAAATTGACGAATTTATTTACCGTCTATTGCGACTGCAACCATCAAGGTGTATAACAGACAATTTTAGACAAAGAAAGCTAATACGTTATTATTTCTTAAATCAATATTAAGATAGACAACGAAACAATATCCATACAGCCAACGTATGTCTTAAGTTTAATCTGTCATTATAGAATAGTACACAAAAGAACCACAAGAGGGCCTGTCAATTTTTTTTAAACGTTCTAATCTGCTTAAAAGCACAGGCACGCATTCTAAAAGCCTATGGTGTTTAATTGAGGGTCGCCATTGATGTTAGATAGCCATCATGATGACTTAAACATTTTTAATGAATATTCAACGTTTCAAGTCGATCTTTTTTGTTTTTTAACTCCTTTGTACGTGCGTTTAATTGTTGCTTTAAGAGGAATGTGGCGTATAGGAAGTATAATGCCTGGTCTGATGCTTTTAACTGATTTTTTTTTAAGATAAAAGGAGGATGAGGTTTGTTTGTCCGTGTACGTGTAGATATAAAGGCAATTTGTCTGTGAAACTGTGCTGTAACTACATAATTATACACACACGATTCTTATTTTAAGTTAATTTTGCACTATTTCCCTGAGTACTGTTAGTTAAATGAAGGTCGGTCAGTATGCAGTTCTTTCATTATTCACTATTATCTAACTTAACTGTTTACATTACTGAGCAGATAATCAGGTATAATATTCTTAGGTACACTCTACAATACATAATAATTAAGATCTTTTACTCTGTTCTTCATCTCTTCCTATTATTCTTCTTTATTCTTTACTGCCTTTTGATTAAGTGGTTGTGTATGCAACCACATAACAATAAGTTCTGGGTTCGAACCCCAATCTGACAATACATTATTGGAACTACACATGTAAACTAGAAGAATTATTCTATTCTTAGTTCTTTTTCTTTCTTTTACAAGTCTTATTGGTTTTGTCAACATCCATCATCTTCTTTTACCCAATCTAACCACGATCTTCTCCAACAGTACGACGAAGGCCTCCACGGCGGAGGCTACATGGAGGGCGGCGCGATGTACCACGAACACAGACTGTCTCACCCCCACTTACCGCCAGTCCACTACCCCCCTCCCGCGGCCCCTGCGCACGCGCTGCCCGGCGAGCCCCTCGTCCACAAGAGAGACAAAGACGCTATTTACGGGTGAGTGGTAACGTGTGACTTTCAGATGGTATTTGGTATTAGGTTATGGTAAAATTTATAGCTGCGTCCTCCTGAATGTCCTTTGAGAGGATAGGTCAAGGTATTAGGCATTTGTCTCTTCAGAAGATGTGATTGATTTACTTGGTGATTGCCTCCTCAAGGACAAGGACAAGGACACAAGGACACAAGGACAACGGAGGTCTTCTAAGACTAAAATATCCTTTAGGAGGATAATGTCCAGATAAAGACCTTGCCTCTTCTGTACCTACAGATTGACTAACTAGTGTGATGTGATTAGTTTAGTAACCATGCCAGAATCTACATCAGGTAAGATTTACAGAAGATTGCATGCCTTGGTCCATTTTCGAAGTGCCACTCTTGATGGAACACCTGGGATATGTTTACAATCAGTACTTTACACTCAACTTCATGTAGACACAGAGACTCTTTAACATCTTAGTGTAATAGTTGCACTATAAATACTTCAAAAAGAGATATAGTCAATTTTGATTTTGACACCTACTTGCTTATTTCCAGTAATATCAAAGAGTGGATCCAACCCTTTGAAACCAACTCAGCTTCTATTTTCTCCACTATCAAAACTTCAAATCTATTTCCATCCCCCAGAGTACAGCCTCAGAATCAACCCAATGTTTGTTACCACTTTAAAACAACACCAAACTTTGGCCCAATCTTTGGCCAAAGTTTGACTATCAGTCTCAACTCGAGATGTTTGATAAAGGACATAAAGGTGCCACATTTGACGCTTAGCCATCCATTTGTGGCAATCTTAAATGTTATCTGATCAAAAGTTGTCAAGAAACTTGAGGTTAGGCGCTATTGAGAGCGAGTGGTGGGGTCCCACTGTTAGGGTTGGTGGTTACAATAGGACAGAGTTTATGCGCTCCACTTCATGTTTATAAAGGTAACAAAATGTTTAAGAATTTGTCACAATAACTTTTTAGTGGTACAATTTATGCAATGCGAAAGACAAGTTGGTTTATTCAAGTTTTATTTTTTGTTAATGTTTCTTCAAAACCCAATTTGTAGGTTAGTTTATTCCAACTATAGAGGTAAATGAGTAAGGAATTAATTTAAGTATTTCTTTGTTTATTAAAGGTTGCTTAAAAATAACTTAATACTAGATCTTCGACGTACATTAGGTACATTGGTATAACATATATGTAATGTTTTTACAAGCATTCATAATCTGTAGTTAAAGTTTAACAGGTAACAAATAAACATTCATTTATTAGCCACTATAGAAGCAATTCCATATTAAAACAACGCCTTTTTACCTATTTGAACCTTTAATGAACATACGAACTTGGTCAAGTAGAAATAAAAACGCGTTATCTATATTATAGACGTGGAAATCTATTGTTTCGCAAAGTTAAACTATAAAAAGTTTTTAAATGTTAATGAAAGGAAATTATAATGTTCTTGTTTAACATAACTGAGTCTGGCACTGGATACGCATTATTGCGAGCTTCTAATATTATTCGTTTCAGAAAACATTGTTAGAAATATGTAATTGAAAACTGTACTAATGCAATGGTAATGTAGAAACTTTTACAGTTCTTTAGTCGTTATTCTATGTTTCATTTACATATAAAATGAAGCCTAAATGCCGCAAATCTTTCAGACACAAACAAAATTCATTTCAGCATTTATTTCCTTAAAATCACTCATTTAGACAATATTGACTTTCGTTTTTATATCAATCTGTGTTATACCATGACTAATCGTTACGATAGTACAATAAAAACATTTAAAGATTCAAAAAACCTCGACAGCTATCGTAAAATTACTAATAAATACATATAAATTGCAATTTAAATGCAATAAATTTTACCGCGTTAGTTCGGTTGGACAAAAAACGCAATCTATGTCTATAGTGTTGACCTTTACATGGCGTATTTACACGGAAATTAATTAAAAAAGAAATCTTTAGGGTCTACTGACTGTTATACACGCCATTACGTTATGGTTCTACATTATTTTATTGCGTTAGTGCGCTAATGATGCAATTTTTTCTTATTAGAATACTCCATAGATGTTTATGTCTCATTTAAAGTAAATCATTTGTAAATAAGGAAATCATTTCGATAAGAAATTCCACAATAATATTAGCTAATCATTCTCTTTATCTTTTGAATTATTTTTAGCTTTATATCCAGCCTATCAATCATACATTGATAAACAGTTGTGTAAGTTTAAATAACGCTATCACTGGGACCCCACCCCGTACGGTGGCAAAACTATAAAGATTTAATCGACGTCACGTACTGAATATCAGCATCTGATCAGTCGCGTGAGAGGTCATCCGCTAGCAATTGGACCATATCTCTTTAGTTTTATTAACGTTTACCACCTTTTTTTGAAGAAACATGACATATTCCTCACTTTATTAATAACATTTAAAAGCTATTTAAAAATTAAGTCCAATTTTGAATGAATGGTTAACAACAACAATTTTGACAGTTTCGTTTTTACTGATCAAGGTATATACGAATGTAGGAATACGGTCATACAGCCACTAGTGTCAATGTCAAAATTAAATGTACTAAGTTAACAATACACCAATTTCCAGGCACCCACTGTTCCCCCTGCTGGCGCTGATCTTCGAGAAGTGCGAGTTGGCCACATGTACCCCCCGAGACCCTGGCGTGGCGGGGGGTGACGTGTGTTCATCAGAATCCTTCAATGAAGACATTGCAGTTTTCAGTAAACAGGTAAATAAATCAATACACACAATAGTCAATAATTCATTACCAAGGAGGTTCTAACTGACACAGAAGACAGAAGCATGAGCATAGAGGTTGTAAATTGAAAAAGATATAACCTTTAATAAAGATCAACAATTGAATCATAAATACACGCGAAATCATTAAGTTTGTTCAGAAGTAAGATATTATTTTGCTAATAGAATAGAGGTCTAGACTAAAATAGCGTCCCCTGAACCATTCAACACATAAAAACGATTCAAAGAACCGAACTAGAATTACTCCGTACAGGCAGCTTGAATAACTTGGAATGAAACACCTGCTGCCTTTGCCCTTCGGGAAAAAAAAGCCACCGGGGTTGCTTGATAGAAAGGAGAATGGCAGGTTTGTATGGAAGTTTTGTACCGCTATAAAATTTTGTATTAGTCATTGTTTTAACCAAGCGAATAGTCTGAACGTTAGATATTTTTGTTATGAAGTTTAGAAAAAAATTACATATTTTTAGAACTTGGGGTTCAAAAGTTATTTCACTTTGAAAATGTGCAAAAGGTATGTTAAGGTGGTACCACACTTGACATTGCGTAGTCGCTTCATTTGTTAAAATATTTGTTGACTACGTATAAATGGCGTCCAAATAGTTCCCTATATGTAATGGCGTGCAAATATAGAGCAAACAAAGAAGAATAAATCCTCCACACATGTTTTTTTTTGGCCGAACACGACTAATACGCAACGTCAAGTGTAGAGCCACCGTTAAGCAAAATATCTATTACAAATGACAGATGACAGTTAACGGAAAAATGTCAATGTGCTCTCTAGCTAGTGGTTGTTTACAAAAAACAAAATCTAAATACTGCTCGCTACTCTACTGACTATTACTTTGTATTATTAGGAATGATCCTGTTAATTCAGCAAGCATGATGTACCAATAGAGTTTTAAAGAGTATGCCTCACAATCTTTTCATTTCTTAGGTGCCTACGAAAATGCAAATTCATAATGTAAGCGACTCTCATTGGCCTGTCATCGGCCTACATTTAGCAGTGGAAGTCTTGTGGCGGATATGATAAAACTAATGTCTCACTTCACCTTGAATCTTGCGGGCAGACGCAAGATTTAATGTATAAAAACAAGATTCGAGGCAGAGGCCTGATATACAAATAGTCTTTAAGTTAATTCGATTTAAACTTAAGCTTAGCTCTTTGAGAAAGTATTTCTTCTGAAAACTGGTTGCTTAGCACGCGTGTAAGGTTTAATTTCTAATAAGTAAGTCAAATTAGTAGAATCATCAACATTTTCATCATTAAGTCTATAAGTGGCCACTGCTGACCGAAGCCTCTTCTCGCATGGAGAAGGTGTGAGCATTAATCACCATACTAGCTCAATGTGGGTGGTAATTCAAACTTATAATAAGAAATTGTAAGCCCATGTTTCCTCACAATTCGTTAGTGGTGTCTTTGTACTTTCTTAGATTATTTAATATACGAATAACTCGGAAGAAAGACACATTGGTACTTTGCTGTTGGTAGGTTTCGAACCCGCACTCATGCATGAGAAGCGGGCTTCTTAAACCTCCAGGCCACCACATCACAACTAAAGAAAATGTAAAATGAAAATGAACATTTTTGGTATAAAACTAAAGCTATCTAAATTAAATATGGCATTTATTTTATAGATTGATTCTTAAAATCACTTTTATCAAGATAGAATTTATAGTTACTTACTAGGTTAAAATAAAACAAATGTATTATTTTAAAATTCTTTTATTTCATTGTATTCAGGTTGTTTCTAGGACTATTTCATCTAAAAAGAGAACAGGCAGTGTCATAGGTACAGCAGACATCAATTGCTGTAAACAAGTAAGGTACTGTAAATAAAGTAAACAAAAGTACATTTTTTCCTTTAGTTTTATATGTTATAATAATATGTCTGATTCCCTACCTTAACTCGTCGAGTACCGTATTTATAGACACAATTAAAGAACAATAGGTTGCGGTCACCGGTGACCGCTTGGTGTTTGACAGTTTAAAATGGAAAAGATAAAAATAAATATTTGATTACATTAATTGATTTTATAACATTTATTATAGTTATTCATATATCAGATCACATTATTTGTATTACAGATCATAGGAGCTCAAACAGCATGCTAATTAATAAATTATAATTATAACATGAGTATAAACCTATTATAAACCGCTTATATACTCCACATAGATACATAATTATGTAGGTACATTATAATGAGAATGCATACTTGTTGAAGCTCTGAAAGCCGAACAACATCTTCCGGCCTCATCTGTTCTACAAATGGCAATGTTAAAATGAGGCTTAGTCCATGTTTACATAACACATTACTTCCTGATAGTGAACACTGTGAGGTGGTATGTCAGGTTGTGGTTTTATAGTTTCGACTCTTGTATGGTCTCTCAGTCAGTATGGAACATGATCTTCATCATGGGAAGTAAGCTAAAATAAGTAATATTATTAGAATATGATATTGACCTTAGATTACACTGTAAATGATAATAGTATGGTTAAATTATGCTTTATTACCTCTTGTGGCTGAATCCAATCAAATACTATATGAGCCAGTCTTTAGTCCTGTTCTTTGGCGCCTTCAATTAAAACCCTGCGTCACCTTATCCTTGCAATGAATCAGCCATATACGACACAAACATGCCGATGACCAATTTGTTTGCTGGACATACTTTCAGCAACATCCCGATACATTGCCAATTGCCAGCAAGCATTGCAAATATGGTTGGTAGGAGAGATCTAGAATAAAATGATACATTATGGGTAGATAACACTATGCGCCTTCTTTTATTCAGGCAACATGGTGACTTTCGATATGTTATCCGGGTAAACTAGGTACTTACATCTCTAGGATAAGTCCGCAATGGGATATTGTTGACCACGTCTAATCTTTACTCTCATTTCCTAGAGCATACCGTCTCATGTGCGACAAACTCTGAATGCAATTAATGCACTGTAAATTCATCATCGCGACAGATTACAACACACTATGCACAAAATAATGTAAATAAGTGTCTTTTCGCAATTGTCGCAACAATGATGCCAATAACACCAATTTGGGCTACGGAGGAACGGTTGCCAAACTCAACGTATCACCAGATGAATAAAATAACTTCAAATTCAACAAACACATCATAACATCGCATTTGAAACAAACAGCAATGCGCCGGTATTGACAAATTAATTGTCAATGTCATCAAGACAAATGCCAGTTCAACATTGCCATATTCAAGTTTGATAAAATGTTAATTATCATTAATAATCCATGTAAACGTAGATTTAGATTGGATGTAGATTTTTATATTTACTTATAAAAATGTTTGAAATGGAAAGGAAAATATTTCATTGATAGATATTAAAATAAATGAGTTTATGAAATAGCGACATTCAATATGCTCTGATTTTATCTTTACGCATGGCAACTTTGTAAACGTCAATCGCGATGTGTTTTAACGTTTGGAAACGTTTAGTGGATTGATTTTTATCATTATTGAATATCAGTTTTTCTAGGGTTTCCCATGTTTTAAAAATCTATTAAATATGCTAACATAACGTACTTAGGAGGTTCTATAACGACCCAATTTTTTAATGACAAATATTTTTTTAGGGAAGCGGTACAAAATCTGCCGTTCTCCTTTAAAATAATATTCAATAATATTTTCAAAAGGAGTTCTTGTAATTACATCGAACGATTGTAGGACTTTTATAAAACAGCAGTCCTCAATAAATAAGATATAAACTGCACCTACGTATTCCCTAAACCAGTTTGTAAATGCAAAATCCAGTCAACATTCTGGCAACTTTGCATATTCATTCGAATTTTAAAACGTCGTTCAAAATGGCGCCCAGTAAATCAGTAGCAACAATTTCTCCTGCATAATGCTTTAATAACTATAAACTTGTAATTAGTAATGGTAAATTCGAGCACGAGTAAATACGACGTAGTATCGATTACAAATTGTTTACGCACAGCGTCTCGCTATTCGGATTGTTATCGATTTTTCTAAATCGAGTTGAGAGTACTTGAATTAATGATTATAATCGATTCGATGCGTGTATTTCTTTCAATTTTCATTTACCTCCTGATAAGAAATTATTTCGTTACAGATGAATGAGTTTTTAACTTTTTAAGTTTTATTTTACTAACGTAATATAACTTCTTATAAGTTTTGAATCGATGTTTTTTTGAAATGTTTTACTTTATTTGGTTTTAAAACATTCGTGGTTCTAAAACGTCCCCTCTTCAATTCCAAACTAGATCCACAGGCCATAAAACTAACAAAGCACCTTGTAATAAGAGTGAGAAATACTGATAAAGTAACATTCAAAAGACAAGCGTGATTTACGACTCCGGCTGTAGAAACAAAAAAAGATCGTCCCTTCAACCATAATCCCTTGCCAGTACAAAAAAACTTTGTTTATTCTCAAATTGTGAACAAACTTCCTGGAAGGACACTTGTTTAAAATGGCAACATTATAAAGAAAGTGTTGCTACATTTATAAAAATGATATTTCATTACGGGAACCTATAATAACATGACGAGGCAGATCGGTTAATATGTATTATTGAAATGAAATAAAAAAAGGAAGGAAAATGGAGTCATTTTGTAACAATTCGGGGCTTCGTAAAACTGGTAATCTGTACAAACCGACAATCAAATACCGTGTAATTTGTAACAGAATTATGTTACCGCGATATCTTTGTGGGTTTTTCATTTTTTTTTCAACAATAGGCACAATAGTTGTTGACATGTTGCGGCTGATATGCAATTTAAAAAATAACTTTGATGTCTTCACATTCTCGGTTCCACCGGATGTGACTTTGTAACGACGTGCAATTTGAATTTCACTTTTAATATTTGATTGGTTTATTATTCAGTTTATATCCTTAAAGGGGTTATTTTTGCATCATTTTTAGATATTTTTATTATTGTTCATAATAGTTTCTTGTTATTTTAGTTTTGTATCATCC